AAGCATACGTTGGTCCTATTTCGTTCTAGCTTTCAAGCCACCCCCAATTGCGCAATAGATGATTGATTGCCTGAGCTGAAAAACCTCGACGGAGTCAACTTGGCAAAAAAAACTCGGCTTTTGAGATATCTGAATCCGAGTTGATTCTTTGAATTGATGACGACAATGGCTTCATCTCGCGCAGGTCGGACCTTGCGGCAACGCATATTAAACAGTGCAAAGCACAATTGGAGCCTCGGTTTCACCTCGTTTGGCGGTCCACCAGTACATTTCAAGATTGTAGGCAGCTTGCTTTCCCCCCAATATGAGTTTTTTCCATGAGAAGCTGACACCCCCCCCCCTTTACAGTTTCACACTCTATATGTTGAGAAGCTGCAATGGATCGACGAACAAATTGTAAGTTGGCATTCTCAAATCAGACACGAGCGGCAATGTTCTGACAAGCAGAACTTCTTCCAGTACCAGGAGCTCTTTAGCGTCTCCCAGGCCCTCTCGGGACCTGCAAGCACAAAGATGCACTACTGCGTGAACCTGCTTCACGACGGCTTCCTGCCCGCCGCCATGTCCTTTTTCCTGTGGAGCCTGCCCGGCGCCCTGGGCATGTTTGGCCTTGCCCTGGGCGTGTCCACCATTGGCGAGTCGCTTCCGGGCCCCGTCTACGCGCTCCTGTCCGGGCTCAACGCGGCCACGGTGGGCATCATTCTGCTCGCCGCCGTGCAGCTGTCGGAAAAGGCCATTACAAACAAGATGACGAGGCTGCTAGTCTTTGGCGGCGCGGCGGCGGGCTTGCTGTACAATGCCCTGTGGTACTTTCCGCTGCTGATGGCGGCGGGAGGCATCGCGGCGCTCGTTTACGATTTTAGGTGGCTTCAGCGCTCGTTTAGGGCTGCTGTGGGAGTCATTACACGGAGCAGCAGCCGTGCACGGGAGGCAGAAGAAGAAGAACATCCGAGAGAAAGGGTACACGTGGAACTGGACAGCGTCACTGCGCAAGGGGCTCGTCGAGATGATGTTACGGCAAACCATGATGTTGTCAGTGACGAAATGACTGCTGCGAGGGAGCTGCCTCTGCGGGCTCAAGCGAGTAGTGATGAACACGCCCGAGTCATTCCTGCAAGTCACCAGCTCAACATGTCCTGGCGAGTTGGACTAGGCATCATCGTCCTCTTCCTCGCCTCCTTTGTGGTTGTCATTGTCCTCCGCGGCACCGACACGCCTGCGCGTGACTCGCTCGCCTTTCGCTTCTTTGCCAACATGTACCTCGCCGGCACCATCATTTTCGGCGGCGGCCCCGTCGTCATTCCGCTGCTGCGCGAGTACGTCGTCGCGGAGAACTGGGTGCTGCCGCGCGATTTCCTCATTGGTCTGGCCATTCAGCAAAGCTTTCCCGGCCCCAACTTTAACTTTGCCGTCTATCTCGGCGCGCTGACTGCCAGGAACAATGGCTTCCACCCGGTGCTCGGCGCCATTCTCGGCTTTGTCGGCATCTTTGCGCCCGGGCTCGTCATGGTGCACGGCACAATGGGCGTTTGGGGCGCCGTGCGCGGCTCGCCGGGCGTCAAGTCGTTCCTCAAAGGACTCAATGCCATTGCGGTGGGCCTGATATACACGGCCGTGTATCGGATTTGGCAGATTGGCTACATTGCGCAAGGCTTTCAGCAAGGCACCAGCCTGGCGGTCGAACCCTGGTGGGTGGTTGTGACGGCAACGTCGTATGTTGGGGGTTATTGGTTTGGCATGAATCCGCCCACAGCAATCATTCTTGGCTGCGTAATGGGATTGATTTGGTACGGAATCGTGTCCAACTAGATACACACACACATATATATATAGGCAAGTAGCACAGCTATTCAACTCGGCAGTTCTCGACAATGATTTGCGCTGCTCTTTGTGCAACGGCGTATAGCGTTGACATAGTGTGCGAAGTCAGCTGAAATGGCAAGATGCCGGCGTCAACGACGTGCATGTTGCTTGTTCCATAGACACTTGCAGAAATTAGTCTCTGGTGTTTCTAGACTGCCAATTCACTCACCGCAATCGTGAATCTACAACGCCGCCTAGTGCTCGGGGTAGCATAGCGGTCGATCCAAGCCAGTGACTAGCACCCGCCGCCGTATCCTTGAACCAATCCAGATACTCAGAGTCTGTCGCGTTTGGGCCAAGCCGAGGATATTGGTACGCGTTCTCGACAACGTCGTGAAACGCCTTGTTGGAAAAGAGGTCGCGTATCCTTCTGGCAACAGCCACTCCAACTGCTTGATCGAAAGCATCCGTCAGAAAGCGAGGCGTGATGATGGCGTTTTGAAACGGATCGGACGAGGCAATATGAATGTGGCCTCTGGAAAGGGGCATGAGCGGCCAGAACGGAGCATCGAGTGCTGTTGGTTTGCTTTCCGCCACGACCTCTGCAACGGGCACTGCGGTGGATTAGCCTGAGATCAGTGCTGCTCTGTTGCGATGTAACTTGCGTCTGTCTTGAATGATCAGCTCAATAGTCGTATTTAGAATCATTTCGGCGCCTTCGACGTTCACTGCAGCACCAGCTTCGACCAAAGACTGAGCTCGTAATCTTAGACTTGACGACCCCGTGAGCGAGCTGGTCATCGCTGATGCACCTTTACGGCATCAGTACGTCAGGTTCCAGGACTCTATGTAGGGAAACGTACTACTCGGCCAAATTTGATCAATATTCACCAATGAGATCTCGGGACCAAAGATGTTTCGACCATCGATGATGGAAGTGTCGTTGTGATAACGCTTTGAAACCAGTGCCGAAACGGCCGATCCAGGTTGGTCCTTGCAGAATCAGTAAGATAACAAAAAGTCAAATTCAAGGTATTTACATTGAGATTTGCACCCACTCCAGGCAGATCAACGACTTGCTGTATCTTGGCGGCGGCCAATATATGCGGGTTGCCGATTCCTGATCGCTCTAATATTGGCGCACTACCCAAAGCGCCGGCCGCCAAAATGACGCTCTTCCGAGCTCTCACTTGGTATATTGGTCCATCCAAGCTTGTTGAGGTTGATTCGGCAAATGCTACTCCTCGGGCGGCTTTGTCGTGGTCAAACAAAACCCTGGTAACTGTGTGGTTTGCCAATACAGTAAGCGATTGCCGCTGTTGTGAAGGTGCCCAGAGGAGAGCATCCGCTGCAGAACAGCGGCGCATTTTTCCTGTTGATGTCTCTAGCCACATGGTCCAGGAAGAAGAGGCAGACACAAAGGATGTGCGATTAGATAAATCGTTACCAATGCTCAACCCAGGGAATGCTTCTGGGAGAGCCCTTTTGTACAGTCGCACAGCCCCTGGTATACGCATGGGAGTCTATCTCTGATTTTAGCTTGGCCTCCGAGCTGGAATTCGTGTCTTACCGGGAAAGACGTATTGACTACGCCCTGGTAACCATGCACGTTGGGGTCATACGATGCACCCTGCAGAATCTGCTCTTCATTCGGAGGTATGTTGCGCTCAATCGCTTCCATAAGCTTTAGCTCGTTAGCGGAGCTGTACCTCACAACCAATGTAATATTTTACCGGCTCAAGTGTATCCCAGTTCCAACCAGGATTACCCAAGGTTTCTAATCTATCGATTTCGGCTCGAGTGGGCCGATACCAGAGCATACCGTTTACTAGAAGTGTGAGCAACAATCTATGAGTAGTTGAAGCGACGTACTGGAGGTTGAGCCGCCGATACAGCCGCCGGCGTGAATGGACTTGGGCAGTTTATGGCCCTTTTCATCATATTGCGGATAATTTCGATTGCAAAAGGTGGGCGGATAGCTGATGCTCCCAGCGTACTTGACTGCATTGTTCCATGAACCGTCGGGACCGGCCTCAATGACGAGTGTACTGTATTTCTGCGCGCTCAGCTAGAATACGAGTTAGAAAGTGTCCAAGAAGGCGCTTTCGAGTAGACGGTACCTTGTTGGCGACGGTAAGGCCAGCGAGGCCAGCACCAACAATTACAAAGTCGAACGTCTGACCATTCGCAATCGCAGATTGATCCGTGACGACGGTCGCGACAGTGAAAGTTGCAGATAGCAAGGTGCCGACAAAGGCAATGATTCGGGAGGCACGCATCGCAAAGGAAGTCACTTGTGCAGGCAACAAGGCGAGTTGCACCGTTTCACTCGGCGTCCGGGCCTGGTGCGGCAACTAAACGGCGACCGGTGCGATAATGGATTACTCTGAAGGCAGTGTTGATATCTTGGAGCTATATGTGACTGTGGATATTTATTTCTAATAAATAGGGCGCCGCCTGCATCTGTTGTCGATGTGCAGCAGCAGGAATGCAGCTGTAGTCATCAGCCGCACTGTAACCAGGACGATATATTGCGCCGAAGTCGGTGGTGGGAGATCCTATACGAATCAAGGCCGCACAAACTGATTCCATAGGCTCCATTATCCATAGGCAGAATGCTGGAAGATAAAAAGCATATGCTTGACTCCGTCTGATGATGAACGCAATGTAGACGTCAAGGGCCAGAAGCGCACAGTGCGAATTTTACAGTGCGCTGTCAGTCACCATGCACTGCGCACTGTCTCTCCTCTTTAACGCCTCCCCCACTCCCAACCGCAGCCGTTTCGCTTCGCTCTTTCTCGGCTTTCGGCATCTGTCAACACTGGGTTATTTCCGCATCGTCCGAGTCAACTTCGCGATCTCGGAATCGCGCGTATCGAGAATTGTCTTGAACAAAGCATATCATAGGCTGCTTGTGCGACATCCGATGTACCATGGCCGATCGTGCGGGCGAGGATGGCGCTGTCAATGACCTGACGCCGGAAGAGGTCAGCCGCATCATCCATTCCCATCGCAAGGTGCGCTACGGTAAGTTTTGACTTGGCATATAACAGCCCATTGCTGGCCATGCAATTCTTTTTGAATTGCTCAATAATCTTGATTTAGATACATTTACTGATCTTCTCAGGAACCGCCTGCTGGCCGTGCCGTCAGCGCAAAGTAAAATGCGACAATAAGCATCCTTGTGAAAACTGTGTAAGGCGTGAACATCCACAGCTTTGCTCATATAAGCCAAATCGCACATCGGCGTCAACAAAACCTAGCAATCCTTCAGCGGCAACTACCAGCCGAAAGCGACAGCACTCCGAACCAAAGGAGCAGGAGCCAGAAACATCTCGCAAGTCGGATCGTCAAGAGAGCTGGCCGAGAGCCATTGGTATGGCTTGCTTAAGTGAAACAACGAGTGCACATTACTAAAAGTCCAATAGGAGCTCTTGATGAAGCAGAGCCTGTCGGCGATCGCTACGTCGGCCAGAACAGCATTCCTGCGCTGTTGCGCGAGCAGTCTACATCCAGCGACAAGAATGACAGCGTCGACATTCGAAGAGACATGAGGTCCATACTTGGTCTAGATAATTCCGCGCCCTTTCCGCTCATGTCGCAGCATCATTTGCATCGTATAGCAGAGGACATCTCGAATGAGCTGCCGTCGGATCGAGAGGTCATGAAGTATGTTATTAAGCGATCTCGCTACCAAGATAGTGTGCTGACGCAAGCCCAGACTGTTTCGATCATATAAAGAAATTCCACAGCCGTTTTGGGGATTCGTGGTCGACATTGACGATTTCGAATCGAAACTCATGGTATATTTAGAAGATCGCTCCCGCAATGCGTCAACGACGAACAAGTCTTCTCGACCTGTATCTCCCTCTTGGCTAGCCATTCTGTTTGCAGTTCTGGCAGTAGGCTCTCAGTATCACGAGTCGCCATACCATATCCGCACTCGTGATTCCCAAAAGTATCTCCAAATATCCTTCCACTTCCTCCGTCTTGCAAATTTTCTACTCCGGTAAGTTGACTTCAGATACTCCTGCAAATGCAGCGCTGATACGAAAGACAGACCGTCGTTCGATTCTATCCAAGCCCTACTCCTGATGGGCTTCACACTTCTCAATGACATGAAGGCCGAAGCTTCTTGGGCGCTTACTGGTCTCACTTGTCGACTGGCACAATCATTGGGGCTTCACCGACCGAACGCCCCAGACACCAACGAAAACGGCGAACCGAATATTAAGGAGATGACACGAAGAAAACTGTGGTGGAAGTGCGTATGGCATGACACACTCACGTCACTTTCTTTCGACAGGTAGGCGACGATGCTCGTAGACCTCTTGCAGTCTTTTATGTGGCTAAATGATCCCTAGATCACCCATGACAAACTTTCCCAGTTGCTCAATTCCCGTCAACCTACAATCGTCAGGCGGCGAGTACGCATATCTCGAAATGATGTATCATCTCATCGAGATTATATCACGGCGCCTGAATCCAGATTCCATGGCTACGCCGTCATACGCCGAAATAGTGGACAACTGCGACGCAGTAGAAGCCTTGCGCAATCGAGCCAGTGCGCATATGAAGGACAAGGACAAGTGCAAGACGGCGTTGGATCGTCTGCAGTATTTTGCCATTCGACTGCACACATCTTTTGTCATTTCAGTCGCCTGCAGACCGGCACTTCGAAGAAACTGCGATCTGGACCCGGAACAAAAGAAGACACTAGCGGCAAGATGCGTAGTCAACCTCACCGAGACAGTAAAGATGTTTCTGGCTATGCATCAGCTGTCCGTTATTCCGACGCGCAGCTGGGCTTTTACGTACCATGGCCTTTCGTCTGCACTCCTACTTGGCATCTTGTGTGACACGCGGGCTGACCCCGAGGTGCGACAGCTGCAAGGGGACCTCATTGCGGCTCTGTCGGCCACTGCAGCCAAAGATGTCAGCTCCCCGGAGCCGCATGTCGTTCGGACCGACAAGGATATTGAGCTATCTGGCCCGCTGTGGCGTGCGCTCACGGCGCTGAAGAGCATCTACGATCACGGTTCCATCACGAATAGTTTCAAGCGCGAGGGTGGCTCGTCTACGGGCGGCAGCGGCACTCGCACGCCGCTGATGCAGCTACCTCCTGGTCTACAAGGCATGCCTCTATACCAGCAGTACCGCGCCATTCCGCCTGGTTCAGATCCGCGCGAGGACGCGGCTCTTGCAATGGCGGAGATGCAAAACGGCGCATCGCTTCAGGACTTTCAAAAGTTTGTGCCGTTCCCTTTTGCTCCGTTTCATGTGACTGACACAATACTCTAGTGCTCTAGCTGCACCGCAGCAGGTACCGATGCCTGTTGGCTTTGACGGGCTCAACACAGAGGGCCCGCAGTTGATGGCGCCTATGGATTTATATGAATCGATCTGGGGAGGTATGTCTTGCATATCGATGCCCCCGATATTGACTTGGACACTGACGCAAATGCATGACAGAATCACCCGATCCTTGGAATCCAGGCGCCGAGCCCATGAACTTTGACTTTTTGGCGCAGCCTCCTCCAGGACAGCCGCACCATCAATTGTATTTCTAAGCAGAGAAAAAGATGATGAGATATGCGTTGTATATGTATTTGCCGTTGCGCTATGACTGCAAACAGAAATCTGCGACATTACAAAACCACACACAGTGCACACCCGTTTACTTTGGCCCCTTTTTGTTCTTTGTTTCGTACTCAAATCGTCAGTGCTCTCTTTGATCTTCATAAGCACTTTGCAGTTTGTAAAAGCTGTCTGTATGCCATGATCGGATCGCCGGGTGGTAAGTAACGACGCGCCAAAAAAGACAACGAGCGGTTACAGCGCGACACCGCGCGTAAACCGGCCAAGTCTCTCGGTCCGTCGTTGCGACCAAAGCTCCCCGACGACAATGTGTGCTCATCATTCGATTTGGGCTGAATTTTCTCTGCCTTTTCTTTTGGCCAAGAATTGTGTCGGGTCTCTCACCATGGGTGAAAAAAAAAGCCAAGTAAAAGTCATGAGGTTGAAACCCCAAAAACGCCAGTCCATGCATGCTGTTTCGTGATCTTTTTCTAAACGTCATCTCATAGAGTCAAATGGAAAATTCGTTCCCATTGCGGTTCCTCCAAATTTGATCCGCCCGTTTCTAGCTCTTTTCTCTCCTCTTTAGATTTTTTTACTTATTTCTTCCTTCGTGAAGTGCTCGACACCAGTTGCTTCTTTACGTGCTTGGGAATCTTTTCCTTGCGCTTCTCGCGCTTGGCCTCCTTGACAGCCTGCTTGTGCAGGCGCTTCTCGTCCTTATCCTCGAAGCGGCGACCTCTGGGGGTTCCCTTTTCAAAGCGACTCTTGTCGTCATCGTCGTCGTCGTCGTCAGCGCTGCCGAGGCCTGCGCCGTCGTCCGAGTCATCAGAGTCGGAGTCGTGCGGCGAGCCGCTCACGTCGGCCTCGGCCCCGTCTTCGTCGGCGGCCTTGACGACCTGCTCGGCAAGCAGGTTGCTGTAGACGAGGTCCTTGCCCTCACCCATCCGGACCTTGGCGGCGTCTTTTTCAATGTCGTAGACTTGCTCCAGGGTCTGAGGGATGTACTGGTTGCGAAAGACCTCGTTGTCGACCTCGATCCGCGCGGCGTGGTCCTCGTCCTCGGCGGCCACATTGGTCTCGTACAGCTTGTCAATGGCCGCAGCCATGGCGGGCTCCTCGGTGGGACCGTCTCCGGCCGTGATGAAGTTGAAGATGGCGCGGTCGGCGAGCGTGTCGACGCCCTTGCGGCGGAAAAAGTCGCCCACATTCTTGATATCCATGCGCAGGAACTCGAGCGAGCGTGGGTGGTCGGGCTCAACGCTCTGCGACACGTCGATAATGTATAGCTGCGCCTCATGGTAAAGAATATTGTACTCACTCAGATCGGCGTGCACGAGACGGCAGACCTGGTACATTTTCCGCATCAAGCCGAGAAGCTGAATGTAGAGCTTGCGCCACTGCTCGTCCACGTCTTCGCCCTGAAGCACGGCGTCGCGCAGGCGCGGGTAGGCCCAGCCCTTGCGGTCGCCGAGGAAGCCCATGACGAGGACGTGCAGCTTGAGGGCGAGGGGCTCGGGGCAGGGAATGCCGGCGGCGTGGATGCGGCGCAGGTTGCGGTACTCCTTTTCCGCCCAGAGCTTGACCATTTTGCGGTTGTTGCCCTTGTCGAAGCCGCCCTTGAAGCGGTGCTCGCCGCTAATGTAGCGCTCGCGGTCCTTGAAGACGAGAATGGCCGTCTTGTAGACCTTGATGGCACGGTGGATCGGGGCGCCCGCGTTGTCGTCGGCGAGAATGGCGCCATAGACGTTGGCTTCTTTTCCGGTGCTGATGGCGCCGTGGACCTCGCTGACGAAGCCGCGGTTGATCATCTGCAGCAGGATCATGCGGGTGCGCTGGTCCAGCACTTGGTCACTGGTGGCTCGGTCGGCCTTGTCCTTGTTCGTGTCCTCGGTCTGCTTCACATCGTCGAGGCGGATCTTGCCGGCGTGCTTGGAGAGGGCCGAGACCTGGTCGTCGATGCTGGTCCAGGTGTTGACCGAAGGCTTTTGCTGGTTGCCGCGTGCGACGGGCGCGCCGCCGCCGCCATTGCTGTTTTGCTGTCTCTGGCGGTTGAAGGTCTTGGTAAGGTCGCCCGAGGCTCCACTCCAGTCGTTTGTATACAAGTCGTCGGCTCCATCGTCATCGTCGTCGAAGATGTCGTCGAGGTCCTCGTCGGTTTCTGCAGACTGCGGGGTAGCATCCTGTCGATTGAGCAGCTCGGCGGGGACATCTTGGGTCTGGCCGTAGCCGTTGTTGGCAGTATATGTGTATGGGGGCTCCTGAGGCGCCGCAGGTGATGCGGTAGCATCAGTAGGGGCCGGCATGATTGCTAAGTGTGTAATGAAAGCAGTTGAGTGAGTGTGCTGGCGGGAGTTGAAGTGGCTGCGATACCGACTTTTTATCTTATCGCGATAATTTTTTTTTCCTAATGGAGGGGTCAACGACCTGTATGGCAGCCCAAAGCGGGACACTTGCGGAGCCGAAATTATTGTGGAATCCTACTCTTTGAGGAAGATAAAGAATGCTGAAAAAGGAAATCACGAGCGAAATGATGGAAAGAAAGAAAAGACATGTAAAAACTTTACATTGAAGAAAGGTTGACTTGAAAGAATTGATGAGGTGCCAAGAGAAAGAGAGCTAGCTGCAAGGTAGAGCTGCCACAATGTTAGTCACTGGAGCAACGGTGCTGAATTTCCAAGCCATGGAAAGAATGTAATCCATGGATTCGTCGACAACGATTTAGCTGCACCGTATAGATAGCTAGTGTTGCGCAGGAAAGTATGTGTTCGAATCTATTTTATTCTATTCTATGTGAAGCGATCATCTCTATTGTAGATCAGATGTGAATATGGATGCGGGACATGTTCTAAATCGAAGAGCGGACATGAGCGACCTTGTATACCACACCCGGGACATGGCAACTCCTCTAATTCTTTCTAAATTTCGTCCAGGATTCCATGGCAATGTTGGCAATTTCTTTGCCTCGCGAGATACCTATTTCATGCCCTCCCTTGACTATGTGAGCATCAACACCAGCTTCGCCGAGCACAGCGCGGGCGTCCTCGATGCACTCTGCCGCCACGACAATAGGGTCCTTTTCTGCCACAATCAGACAGATGCGACCAGTTTCCAGGCCTGCAGGACGGTCTGCCTCGGTCTTCCTCCGCACGGCCAGCTCGTCCGCCAGGAGCGCCCACAGCGCATCATGCTGCGCATAAACCGGCGCGTTGCGAATGGTGCTGACGTACGCGGGCACGAACCCATCGTTGCCGTCAAACTGCCACTGCACAACCTCGCCGACCTTGGGGCCGCCCGGCGCTTCCCGCGCGACGGGCACCGCGTCAAAGTCGACGTCGGCATCCTCGGCGCCGTCGGGAATGTCGACGCTCGTGTGGTGCGACGACGACGGTCGTAGTCGTTTTCGCGCGAGGCGCTGGACGAGCCACTCGGGCATGAGGCCGCCCTGCATGTAGGAAAGGCGACTGCGCCAGGAGATGTGGACGGGGCGCACGAGTCCTCCGGGGCAGATGAGCGTGGCGGACCGCAGCATGTTGGCGTGGTACGTGGCAAAGGAGGCGGCGATGGCGCCGCCGAGCGAGAAGCCCAGGATGTGAAAGGCAGAAGTGCCGGTCCACGGAAGCGGTGATGAGGACAGCGCCAGGAATATTTGTGTGGTGTAGAGGCGATCATCATACGGCAGATCGGCTGGAGCATCCGAGTAGCCTCTTCCGAAAAGATCTAATGTCCTTGTTAGAAATGTGCGGTTCTGTTTCTTCATGATTGTAGTAGGTACAAAACTCACCAAACAGCATGACTCTGCATCCCTTTGCTACAAACTCGCGAGCCATGTCGCCCAAAGCAATGCATGGCGTACCGATACCATGCAATAGCAGGACCTTTTCGCCGTCTTCGGGCCCCCATTCGAATACCTGTATCGTGCCGAACGAGGTCCGAAGCTGCTTTCCGCCCGGGAACTCATCTAGACGGTACGGACAAGGCGGCGCATCGTTCGTGTCCGCCGCCTTGGCCGTGGATGAGGCTGCATTCCGGGTCCGCGCGCGTATTATATGGCGATCAACGGGCAACGGCCGCAGTTCCACCAGTGCTGGTCGCACCCGGAGGTAGATGCCTAGGAACAAGGCAGCCGTCGCGACGCCCGCAATTGCGGCGCCCGTGCCACCCGGCCTTGAAAATACATGGCCCAGTTGAGCCATGGCTATAGTCGAGAACCAGTCCCCACGACTTGACCCAATATTGATGGACTAGCTGTGACTGCTCAGTGTGGCTCTATTCCAGCCGCAATCGTTGTCATTGTCATTTGTTTGCTGTGTCGCGGGAACCGAGGTGGCTCGCTCGTTCGCTCGGGGAGTTCGGCTTAGCCTTGAGTGGGCCAGGTCGCTGCAGCATCCTGGTAACCGCGCATCACTTATAAGTCGCAGCTTGAAGAAAAGACAAAATTTATTAGATTGATTTATGTAGAATCATCATGCACTTATGAACATGCCCTATGATGAAAGTTGCTTCAATGATTGGCACCGCAACTCTCATGTTGGCGACTGTTGAAATGCCCCCACATGTTAGGAAAGGCCAAAATTGGCCATTCCGCACCCAAGATGCAAGTTTAGCAGTCAGTCGGCCAGCAGCCTAAGTAGCTTTTGGGGAGAGTATAAATAGTTGTTCCCGCAAAGCATTGCCCCTTTCCTTTCGGTTACTGTTCGAAAAGATTTTATTGAGCGGCATCACGTCACTTCTCACCACTCGGGAATGTATGGCGCCCGACGCGCTCCAGCTACCGAATCATCAGGGGGAGCAAGCCAAAGGGTCAGCACTTGAAGCGCTTCCACGGCGCGCCGCGAGTCCGGGCTCGACGCGAACCGGCATCGTCGTCTTCTCGGGAGGCAGTGCCGCAAATAACCTCGTCGACGTCTTTGAAAGCGTCCGTGCAGCAAACAGCACCTCACTGAGCTACGTCATCCCAATCTCTGACAATGGCGGCAGCACCAGTGAGATTATCCGTGTTTTCGGCGGCCCAGGTACGATGAACACCACCACACGCGGCTCTGCTCAGTCTTAACACAGGAAATAAATACTGACTCGTCGATTCCAGGCATCGGCGATGTCAGATCGCGCCTGGTCAGGCTGATTCCCGACGACGGGAGCCCCGAGACCACCGCCATCAAGCACCTCTTCAACCATCGCCTCCCCAAGATCGCTGCCGCCGCTCGCAGCGAGTGGTTCGACATTATCGAAGCGTCGCATCCTTTGTGGCGCGATATTTCGTCGCCCAAGCGCGAGCTCATCCGCTCCCACCTCAACAGCTTCAACCTGGAGGTAGTCAAGCGCATGCGCCCCAGCAGCCGCTTCGACTTTTCGCGCGCCAGCATCGGGAACCTGTTCTTGACGGGCGCGCGCCTCTTTACCGGCAGCTTCGAGGCCGCCATCTATCTGTTGAGCTCGCTCTGCGCCGTGCCGGAGCGCGTCGCGGTGCTGCCGGCGCTCAACACCAACTTTGCGCATCACATTGCCGCCGGGCTCGTCAACGGGGACGTGATTACGGGGCAGAATGACATTTCGCATCCGAGCCTACCGACGGCGGCGGTTCCGGGGGTAGGAACAGGGGTGCATACCCCGGCGCCGTCGGATTACGACACCGAGGACCATGACAAGATTGAAGACGCCAATTTGCCAGGTTCCTTGCCAGCGCTGAGACGACCTGCGATTAACTTTTCCAAAGAATTGGACGAGGACCTGCCTTCGAGGATAGAGCGCATATGGTACATTAATCCGTACGGCCAGGAGATTCGCATCCCAGCAAATCCGCGTGTGCTGGAGGCAATCAACACTTCAAATACAGTCATATACAGCATCGGCTCGCTTTTTACATCTTTGATCCCCAACATTGTGTTAAAAGGCGTTGGCGAAGCCATCGCGAGTCCTCTTGTCCGAAACAAGATTCTTATACTCAACGGCACGCTGGATAGAGAGACGGGTCCATCATCAGAGCCCTTCAGCGGGCTAGACTTTGTCCGCGCAATTGCGAATGCGTGCGCAGATTCCCGGGGTCTGCCACCACCAGAGGAAGAACAGTACTTTCATTATGTCAGTCATGTCATTTACCTGGAAAGCTCTACATCACCAGCCGTGGACAAGCAGCGACTTGCAGAGATTGGCATCGAGTCTACGAGGCTGTATGGGCCAAAAGACGCCGCTGGGCTTGGCGGAAGATATGACGCAAAGGCATTGGCTCAGGCCCTAGAGACCATTGTCGGTCGAAAAAATGTTCGACTGGATAGAAGTAGGAGAAATACACTCGTCGGGTAGAGGAACTTATTTGGTTCAAGGTCATGAACGAATTGGACATGGCAAGCTACGCCAAGAAGCAAGAAGCAAGGAATTAAGCGCCTTTCAATTTCAGCAATACCAGTACACGAGATCAAGTCCAATATAATGCTCCCAAAGCTCCGGTTCCAATCCACCTATCCCTTATAAAGACGACATATTTCGAATCCGTTAACTGTTCAGCAGAATATACACCATGACAACAGGCCATGCCGTGGAAAGTACAAATGCGGCAAAGACGGACCCCGGCCCTGTTCGTATCTTGTCGGAAGGGCCTCTCCAGCGATCAATGAGTGCGCAGGTTGTCCAGATCATGAGTATGGCGTAGAGCGAACCGGCCCACAGAGCAGCCATTATGATATCGGCGAATCGATCCTGCGGGCTGAGGACGACCTTGGAGGTGTCGGGCTCAAAAGTGGACGACAGATTAGCACCCATGATGACGGGTTTGTTTGAGGCGGGGGGGCGGCGGAGGGCGGTAAAGAAGGTTGGAGCGCGTTGGCCGAGTGGAATTTCGAAAGTAGAAAGAGTTTGCAGAGTGAATGTATTAGGAACGTAAAACAAAATTGTATAATAAAGAATGTATTGACCAGCAATGTGCGTCCTCGCCTGCGAGATGGTTGAAGTGAAAGACAAGAGCAGGGACAAAGACCACCAACAAAGAAAAGGGTAAAAGACCAGAGAAATGAAAGAAGAGCAGACCGACAGGGGAAGAGCAATAATATGTGGGAATTTTCATCCGTACCAATGCTGTCCTCGCTCTGTTTGCCCCCCTCGGAATCATTTCAGTTTTACACTGGAACGAACTAAGAAACCAGACCAGACGGATACCAAACCGGGGCCTCTCTACGCGAACAGAGGCGGAAGAGGGGGGGGGGGGGGGGTTGAAGTGCCAAAGACGGGGGAAAAAAAGAAAAAAGACGGGCAAACATTTCCGGCACATTTTCGGACCCGTAAATCATCTGTAATCGGAGCATGAAGAGGCCCAGACTTGTCGCAGGATTTTTTTTTTGACGGCCAGTCCGGGTTCATCGTCTTACACGAGGCGTCTCATGATAATGCGTGCGTGCTATTAAGAAGGGGGTTGCCGGCCGCTTGAGGCGTCGCATAGCTGGGACGAAGGCTGCGACATGATTGCGATGAACCCAAGTTGCTGAAAAAGCTTGATTCTTTTTTCTTGAAGAAATAAAAAAAAAAAATAGATAAGAAAATAAAAAACGTGTGCATTTTTATTCTGGCCGGGCAAAGAGATGGATGGCAAGGTTTGCGGCGTAAAGATTGCATAGAAATGTCCCCGGACGTTCGGCACAAATCTCATACAGAGGCGTAAAGATTAGGCAATGGTGTTCTTTTTTCCCTTTCTTTTGGCGAGTTTCAGAAAATTCAGGTTAAAAGTAATTTTCTTTCTTTCCCAATTCAAGAGATGCAGGACAAACTACCAATTTAAGATATACAGGACAAACTGTTGAACAATGAATACGGCTGCCAGAATTTCGAAACACCATCCAATCCCCCCTCAAATCAGAACGCAAACCCCCAACTTCCCCCACGCTCATTAGTCGTCCCAATAACTTCGCCTACTACATCTGTTATTACCCACCCGATCGTAATATCCTCTGTGAACACGACCAGTATGGGCATCGTCCAGGCAGTCTGGGTACGGATATCGCAGCCCTCCACGCCGGCACACTGGCGACGGCTCCCGCGCGTACTCTGACCTCACGCCATCCTCGTCCACAATAACCAGCGGCGTGACCACCGCTGTCTGGTAGCAGTGGCGCGGCTCCCTCCTGTAGCCTTCACTTTCCTTTTTCTTCTTCTTCTCTTCCGTCACTTTTCTCTCTTCTTCCCTTTTCCTGCTCTCCGCCGCAAGCCTCTTTGCTTGCTCCTCCTCGAGGTGCCGCGGGCAGTGATCCGTGCCCGGGACGGCCTTGTTCAGACACCGCGCGCGCTGGCACTCGTGCTGATTACAGTACCAGCTATGCGTCTCCTTGTACTGCCCGCAGTTGTCGGCCTCGCACCCGTGGCGCCGGCAAAAAGTCGAGCGGCCCTGCGCGGCCTGGTCGCAGCGCTCGACGCCGCAAGAGTGCCGCTCGCACGTCGTCATGGAAGGTTGCTTGTCGGAGCGCTTTCGGAGGCACAAGTATGACTCGCAAGTGTCTGTTATCAAAGAAAAATGTGAGGCCATGGCTGTTCAAGGGGGGCAGAGATTGCGTCAAGAGCATTTACTTACGCTTTTCGCACCATTCGCTCTCACCTCCCTCCTTGGTCTGTAGCAGCCGGTTGCATCCCGGGAGGCGGCAGAAGCTGTCCGGCCGAAAGACCTTGTTGCTGTGTCGATGCTCGGTGCAGTCGCCGTCGCATTGATGCACATTGGACGGCGGCTCTTCCGGCGGGTATGAAGGCGCCTCGTCCCTCGCATCTTCGCCATGAGCTTCGCACAAAGGCGAGTTTTGACGACGCTGGCCTGGGCAGCCGTAGACGGCGCACAATGTAACATGTACAGCACATAGCCCTCCACAATCACCGGGAGTCGCACAGCTTGGGTATCTGCATTGGTCTAGAGGCCCGGTGTCAACTGGGGGTATTTCCCTTTTGAGGACAAAATTCGGTACTCACGAGCGTTGCAATACCAAGGCAGCGTCTTGTTGGACAGTCGGTCGGGCGTGGCGAAGCACCCTGGTACTCCGCAGGTGGCATCTATTTGGAAAACAGATTAGGTGTCAATGTCGCAAGATAAAATTGCAAATTCTTTTGGTAAGAAGAAAGGGTGATGCTTACGCTCTGGGCAGTACATTTCGTCCATTGCCTTCATGCGCTGACACCTGGGCGGGCCAACTGTGCAAGCGTCTGCGAACAAAGAACTTGTTAGCCAAAGTTTGTCCCGTACAAACCATTATTGAATCGACGGTGAAAACTCACGATGATGGCAGTAGGGCGCGTAGATTCTGATTTCATTCTGCACCGAGTAGCCGCATTTGTCGTAGCAGCCAGGCTTACTACAGCGATTTTCTCTTCTGCGACTTCGATCATCATCATCATCATCATCGCAACAGTGACCCCTTCGGCCGTGCCTGTCCTTTCTCCTTCTGCACGAAAACATGACGTATGCTGCTGTTTCGTGGGTGGTGCCTGGTTTCAAATTCAATACTTGCGCAATTGAGACTGGCGCAGCGTCTTGACAGCCAGGAAGTTCAGCTTGTGATTCGAGCGAGAAACATCAAGTTTATAAAGCTAATCATGAGGCTCTACTCAAGCTGCACGCAAAGAACTTGAATGCTTTTCAAACTTCTTTATCAAAGTTTCCTCGAGTCTTTATCTAGTTTTCAAAGTTCCCAGCTTTCTTCTAGTTCCATACTTTGTAAGAATCGCCTTTTCTTCAGCTCGGGTATTTGTACGCCTCGCGCGCCTTTTCTTTGCGCACCTTTTGCAGGCTATAACGGGAAACGCCTTGCACCTTGACAAAGAAGGGAACGTGCATGCCTCTCTTTCTTGCAACGCGTGCCTGCTGGTCATGGCTTTCTACATTTTCGGGTATCTCCTCCCGCCGCAATGGAACTGACTATAGTCACAAAAGGGCATACAACAAGATAGAGAGGCATGCACCCGCGTATAGTCAGTCGCCTTTGTGTGACTCCAACGCATCATGTCACGACGTAGCCTCGGCCGATGCGATTACCCGATTGAAACTTGTCACCCATAAAGTGTAGCATCAAGCATTTCTCTTCACCGATCTTCTACAAAACGACAACTGACTTCGAGCTCACAAGTCGGTGGCACTCTCGCATCCGTCATGCAAAGCTCCATTGAGCAAAACTTGTAAAAAAGTATATAGTTGAAATAGGTTAGGTACATGATCAAATAAGTCTGGTTGATAATCGTGACGCTCATTATGCTGCTTCTACGCACCCTCTTCCACACACCGCTCCACTTTACTCCCTGTTGTCGCTTGACTAAAGCTTAGCAGACAGAGGCAGGTCGCGGGAACTGCTACCAACCCAAATAGTCTTTGGAGCATCAGTCACAACCCAGTTCTGGGCTTTGACGTCCCAGTTGCTGAGGTCACGGCGAGTGAGCTCGACACGGAATGTGGCACTGGCACCGGGGGCGATACGCTCCAGGCGATCGAAGCCACGGAGGACGCGGACAGGCTCACCCTCGCCACCATGGCTGAGATACAGCTGAGGAATCTCGTCGGTCGTGGTCTTTCCAGTGTTGGTAATGGTCGCAGTGACCTCGTACATCACATCGAAGAGCTGGCGGTTACCACCCGGCTCACCACCAGCAGGGTGCTTAGGTTGGGGGTCTGCGTTGATCGCATTGGGAGGGAGGAATTCATCAGCGGCTTTGCCATAGTGAGAATCGCCAGAAGCCTCACGTCCAGAGGAGGTATTGTTCAGCCACGGGTAGATAAATTGATAGACTTGTTGGAAACCCGCAGGGAAACCATAGTCCTTGAGCTCTGTGCTGAATTTGCCAAAGGTAGGAGCAGCAATAGTATTGCCAGTGGTTGGTGTGTATGGGCGATTATTCTTCTTGACAACCTTAAGATTGGTATACTCGAAAGTAGACCAGGAAAGGCCGAAACCAAACTCGTAGACAGGAGCCTTGGGGTCGCTGCCAGGCTTACCATCAGACTCCTTATCGAAGTGACGGTAGTCAAAGAAGGCGCCCTCAGAGAAGTCGTCTTGAGGAGCGTCATTGCCGTTGTTGGGCTTGAAAAGAACGTCGTTGCCATAAGATTTCTCGGTAGCACCCCAGGTAAAGGGAGAACGACCGGGACTAGTCTTGCCATAGAGAATGTCAGTCAAAGAGTTGCCGGATTCCTGGCCGGGCTGACCAGCCCAAACGATTGCGGTAACATTTTCATTCTTGGAAATCTCGGAAAGCAGAACGGGTCCAGGGCTATGAATGACGACAATAGTGTTGGCACAGATGGCAGAGACATTCCTGATCAAGTCATCACCATTCTTCCAGAGAGTGAGATTGTTGCGATCCCCCTCGTTACCGTCAACAGAGATGAAACCCTCGCCAGCATTCGAGTTGGCAAAGACGATAGCAGTGACATTGGGCTGGCTGACGAGATCGCGGGTAGCGGTCCAATCGTAATTGGTGAGAACGCTCTCGTAGCGAGTGCCGTCCTTGATAGCCTGCTGCTGCAAAGCACTGTCGGGAGTAATGAGGTAGGGAAACTCGGATGTACCCGAGCCCCAAAGCATGGCGTTTGTGCCGTCATCACAACCGCGATTCGGGCAGCCGTTGGGGCCCTTGGGATTAGGACCAGCATCTTCGCCGATGACAGCAAGAAGTTTGGGATTATTAAGAGGGAGAGCGCCGTTGTTCTTCAGAATGACGGTACCCTTGGCAGCGGACTCGCGAATATGATTGGCATGGTCGGCTCGGACATCGACCTGCAAGTTGACCTGCTCCATTCTCTGCTTGGCAGCAGCGTGGCGGTAGTCGTAGCTTTTTCGGCTCCATGAGTAGAAGTTGGTATCCTTGGCACCCTCGACGGTCCAGCCGACCTTAAAGAGAGAAGCCATGATGCGCATGGCCATATCATCGATTCTGTAAGCAGGAACGGTTCCGTTGAGAACAGCTAGGGTCAGGTTACCACCCCAGTAACTGTGACCAGTATTGAACATGGTGTCACCTGGCATAGCCATGTCCATACCGGCGACGGCATTTGAAACACCAGAGTGTTGAGCCGCCCAGTCACTCATGACAAAGCCCTGAAAGCCGTACTCGTGCTTGAGAACGCCATTCAGCATCTTGGAGTTTTGACAACCATATGAGTTGTTAATTTGCTGGTAAGAACACATGATAGAGCCAACTCCGGCCTTGACGGCATCTTGGAAAGGCCATGAATAGTATTCGTGCATAACCTTGTCATTGATGTTGGAAGAGAGGGTCTCGCTGATGTTGTATCCGTAATCTTTAGCCTCGCCGACCTGGCGGAAATGTTCTGTTCCGCAGTTAGCACACAGATGCGATTTCAACGAACAATAAACTCACCCTGCTCATTTGCAATATAGTGCTTGGCACAAGCAACAACACCGGCGCCTTGAATGCCGATGACGTTATTGGCCAGGGCCTGGCCCTGGAGGTAAGGGTCCGATCCAAAGGCTTCACCGATGCGTCCACCCTTGGCCAAGCGGCCGAGAGGACCGCTAGCAGGTCCAAGGAGTACGTCGACACCCTTGTCACGGGCCTCGGCGCCCATGGCGTTTCCACGGTCACGCCAAAGGTGGCGAGACCAGGTGGCTCCGGAAGTAATGCCGACAGGGAAGGCACTATTGTAGTCACTGAATCGTAGACCCAGAGGGCCGTCTTGCATACAAAGACTCTTTAAGCCCAAGCGAGGAACGGAGCCGACATTGCCAACACACTTCTCACCCATCCAACTATTCATTGCGTTAGCACCCAGAGCCAAGTGAGGAAGTATAGAAAAGCGTACCCGACACCGGTGGTGATGTTGACTTTTTCGGGCAAAGTCAACTGAGAAACAAAGGCCTTGGCCTTAGCGTATGCGTCCTCCCAGCCAGGTGCGCGAGGGTCCATCCATGGCGAAGGGTAGAACGGGGGTGAGTGGGCTAGCGAGCCGTTTTCGTTTGTGTTGTTTCCCTAGACGAAGAAGATGCTTATTAGCCTGGAGATCTTAATCACCAACGAGGGACAAGAGCGCGATGGAGGAGAATGCGACGCGGGAGCACCGTGTTGGAGAATTGTACGGATCGCTTTCGTGCTGAGTTGCTGCCCACAAATCAAGGAGAGGTAACAAGAATAGCCAAGAGCACTGGGCTAGGGGGAAAGATGTAAGGCGGCCGACACGAGTGGTTGACGCGCAACGCTTCATGGCGATACTGTCACTGGAAACAGGGGAGGAGTACTTACATACTGGTTGGCGTCACTACCAGCAGCAAGGAAAGCTGCGGCCACAAGGGTAGCCGTTTTCATCTTTGCGTGTCCTGAGGAACTATCTCCAGTAAAAGGACAGAATGAAGTCTGATGTTGGATCGCTGGAAGTACAAAAACATAGCGGGAACGGGCTGGGGGACCGGCTTTCTTGATATATGTACCCAGCTTCGCCGGGCGCGGAAGGGCTTCTGGGGCCAGCTTGGGGCACCCAGGGGATCGGCAACCTCAATTTTTTTGTTGGAGAACATGGGCACGGCACTACATCCATTGTGTACAGGGGTAGCTTGTAGCTTCCTCAGGCGAAGAGTCAGCTCAGAAATCTAAAAGAGCAAGCCACCAAGGCCAGCGTCACGCACCTTTGGGCTTGTGGATGCACAGTGTGCCATTCACCTCTAGGGGCGCCCCGCACAGATGAATACGCGATCCATTCATGTTCCTTGGTGGATTTGTTGGTCTGTGGAGGTCATGCGCTGCATGCCAGAGAACCTTGAACAAAAGAAAATTGGGAAATGCGAGGTCTGGCTCGTTATTTTGAGTCGTGTTGGTGGCGGAAATGTTTGACGGCGAGCACTCGGGGTGACAAACAAGTGAGTTGATCTGCCAGCTGGCAGGTACGGTGTTTGTGTCCGTACATGAACACGATGAGGGTCCTCGTCTAATTTTTTTCTTCGCAGAAACTTTCCCCTCGTCATCGTACCACAGTGCTGAACTTTCTTATTGTTCCGGCTCTTTGTTGCCTTGCCCCCGTACATCGACTCAAGGAAATTGGCCAGCAAGCTAGTTTTCCCACTAGGTATCAATCGGGATTGGACAGCTGTCGCGTGGCGTTCAATGGCACGCAGGGTTAGGAAACAACTTCTAATAACAGACTATATAGGTAGTAGTACTTATGTCGGCACCCGAGACTTTGACTTTGCCCTCCATTCTACAACGCGATAACAAGGGCTACGCGGTGTCTATAGCGCTCTGTTTTGAAGTGAAGCATCTCATTCTGTGCTTCTGTACCACGACTCGTTTAGCTCCCACACGGCGCCGCTTCTCGCTTCTCGCCGCAGAATGTCTGTCTGCGTCTACTTCGCCGACGAGAATTTCCGCCTGTCACACGCGCTCGGATTCGCCCCCGACGGAGTCATGCGGGTCGAGTCGTTTATGTCAGTTAGCAGGCCACAGAAACAAACAGCGCAGCACATTCGAGCCCGCTCCTGAATTTAATCGTCCGTCTGGATACGGGCAACACGGGTTCGGGCCAGACTGGGGACTGCTCGGCTTTGCACAGCTCCACCTTGGTGGGGGCTTGGTCGACGGCGTAGCAGAGATCAAGATGAGGCCGCAAGCCTCTGGGGGCGCACGCTACCGACAGCGCCATTTGCTGCCGCTCTTTTGGGTGCGGGGAAAGCCCTTCAGCCAAGGTACTAATTAACTAGCGCCCCATGCACCCCCAATTCCAAAGCCCGTGAGGAGAGCCGAACAGAAACAGGCAGGACCTTGTCAATGGCTTCGAGTAGGGCCGAACGCCAAACGCCATCTTCCTCTGTCATGTCCTCTGCTCCCTATTTCTTGTGCACGGCACATCATGAGTTGGCATCAGCGAAAACTTCGCAGCAGTCGTCGCTAGTCTAATGACGTTGAAGGAGTTGTCGTGTCACCAAACCACTTGCCGGCTATTCGGTCTGGGCGTTGCACTGGCCCTTGGCCCCCAGAGGGCGTAATTAATTGTGCCCAATGAATCGACATGGGCTATTTAGTGACTATGTGTTTGCAACTCACGATGCCTTCGGATGCTCACCGGTCACCGGTCACCGCAACAGCGCATAATGGGTCACTTATTCTTGCTTCTTTACGGGAGCAAAGTATATCCATTTTTGCAGCAAATAATGCTGCTTCTGACGTCTTGCCTGAGTGTCTCGGCTCCCTGGCCCATGATAGCCTGATATTGATGATACCCGCGGCAGACCAGCGATCAAGTCGAATACTTACTGGCCAACACAGGAATACCGAAAAATGGGAGGAAAAACGGTCAGCTACCACTACCTTAAGCATCGCGGTCGGCAAGCCACAGTGGATAAGGATCTCCGGTCCGCTTGAAGCCACTGACGCCCTAAAAATTGCTTGAAGGCCGAGCAGCGCTGCGAAAATACCGCCTCTCTGGCGCTCAATCTGTCCCTCGAAAGCTGCTGGCGAAGACCCAGGCGTTCCATGACTTCAATATGGACTCTTACATCGTCGCTGGCGCATTGCATTCTACCCGTGTCACGCTATGCATACTATGACGCAAAGTCGGGAAACCCCAGGCCGGGGAAAGAGGGTTGTAGCCCCAGCTATGTAATTCAGCCCCCTCCTTTTTCGGGCCTTCTCTCCCCAATCTCTCCCCATTCTCTCCCCACGGTGGCCCGTCGACGCGCGGAGTGTCGGGCTACCGTTCCGCACAGTATGCGGAGGTAGGTAGTCAGCTGTTGCCGCCAAAACCACGGCAGAAGGAAGATTCGCTTTGACGACTTTACGAGCTACCAAGAGCCGTTTGTGGCGCTTCTATATTCACCGAGAAGAGCCGGGCTAGCATGACGACCTGCATGCCAAGGCTGAGAATCCCGGCCCTTTCACTCGATATGGTGTAGCCAAGCACCTCTGCTTTGCAGTGCGCCGCTTCCCTACTCCTTCCACGGTGTTGCAGCAAGCAAGGCTGAACGGTTGACCCAACAATTGACCGGTCCAAACTATCCGCAAGTGGTGTGGTGTCAAATTGTCGGAGTGTCGTCCCGGTATGCCGCAGGATTCAAAGTATTTCAAGGTATCACCGTGATTACATACGGAGTAATGAGTTGCGGATTCTCGGCGAAACGACTTCTCTTCGGTCTATCCCATTAGCCTCTCCACGATGCTGTTCAAGCCGCGGATAGGACATGAATCGTCGGCGAACTCCTTGGACGGCAATCAAGCACCACAGCACAGCTTCAGACCTGGACTGCCGGCGCAGCATCACAGTGTCACACAATAGATCAGGCAAGTTTCACAAGATATTACGTTACTAAAAAAAAACGTACGACAGCGCGGGGATATTCTTTGTCACATAATCCATCGCTAACCCATACAATGGGCCACCGTTAACTCCACAAACCCTAATAAAAAGCCAAGTATCACAGACCGATTCCCCATACTTTGGGGCTACCGATCCGCTCTGAAATAAGCTACCATGAGCGGCAAATGAAGCTGGCACAGTAAAACAACACTTTGAGCCATTTAGTAAATGCCGGGAATGATTCTCCAGCGGACAATTCTCTTGTACTTTTCCCAGTCGTCACCGTACTTGCGATGACACTTTTCGTCGTCGCGGCGGTCGCGGTGGATCAGAAGTACGGCAAAATAGACGACATAGAAGTAGGTGATGGGAATGCCCCATCCCTTGGCATTACCCTGAATAACTTGACGACCGTCGGTCGTGACGAAAGCGCCCACGGAATCCTCGACTAGACTGCCGGCGGCCATGATTTGGTAGCCGGCAAGACCAGTTGGCAGGCAGTAGGGCCAAGACTGGATCCAGTCTCCTAGATAGTTGATGTGGCGAGCAACACCCCACCAACCAGTGGTGAGCAGTTTGCTGCCCGTCTTCGTTTGAATGTATTCGAGATGGGCGACGCTGGGGTCATTGGGGTTCGTGCGAAAGGTGTTCTTTTGACTGTTGGCGGAGCGAAAGATGAAGAAGCCGAGTCCAATCAATGAGAGCATGGCAGTCAGTCCAATAGGGCCGAGAGACAGTGGGTGAAGAGAGAGATAGCGAGTCTGCTGCGAGTACACGAACGGAACCCAGACCAGATCGCCAAAGGCAAGCATCATGCCAAAGCCATCAGTGGTAATGTCCATGGTCGTGAGAATGGCAGGTTCATTCCACCAAGAGTCGATGATGTATAAAGCCTGGACGACGGTGATGCAGATGATGCTGTCGGTGACATAGCCGTAGTTGCGATACTGCTGGGCACACCACGCGCAGTTGAGGATGATCCAGCCCATCATACCAGGGCGAAGTTCGCACCACTCCTTGATGTCCACCTCGCCAATGACGGGAATAGTGACACGAGGATTAAGCTCGCGGCCAATGAACCAGTCGTACAAAAGGTTGCCTGTGTGGCCGCCAGCAGCAAGCTCGCGGCTTTCCTTGTTGCCCGCCTTGACGCTAAAGCTGCGGACGTAGACAAACGTCGCGATGGCATAGGAAATCAGAATGTTGGCCGTGAGCAGCTGCAGGTAGTTTTCGCTAATAAAGACCCAGACGGGGAACTGGGCGCCCTGCGCAAACGTTCCGGCAGCGAGAAGCGATAGAGTAAGCGTGTTGGAGTACAGAGCTACGGTAGAGTTAGACATGTGCGCAACAGCTTCTATGGGCAAATTGCTCCGACATACTGTTCAGACGGTACTTGAGGCGGCCACCAGTGGCGAGCACAGTGCCCTCAGTTTCGATTGCGGGCAGAACACGGTAGAGAATCAGGTTGAAAAGGTAATATGCAGCCACGGCAGCGCTCGCTTGCCAGCTGGCGAGGCCGTAGACGCCATCTTTGGGCCAGCCAACTTCGCGCTTGAGCTGTCCGATCGAGAGGGTCTTGGGGCTCAGGAGCGAGGGCGCCGGGCAGCCCGAGATGTCGTTGCACGCAAAGGCGAAGATGTAGCAGAGAATCGGGAGGCCAAAAGAGATGCCCGCGGCACCGAGACTAGCTTTGATGTCAGCGATGTCCCGAAAAAAAAAAAACCTTCGTGGAGTGGCGCACGAACGCGCTTTGGCGTGTTTACTTACGGACCACCGAATTCGTAGCCGTGTGACGGAGCGGCAGGGGCTGCAGCAGCCTTTGTTTTGAGAGCCATGGTCGCAATGTGCAGAGGAGAGGATTGCAGGCGAAACAGGAATTGAGACGGAAGGCCGTCTCTATTAATCAAGGAGGGCGGTTGTCGCACCTCTCGGGCAAGGAATGTGTTGCACTTGGAGCAGAAGTTAGTTAGAGCAGGCAGGGGTTGCAGGGCTAGGAGCTGTCCAACGCGAGGACGGCGGAGTTCAACGCTTCCGGGTCAAGCTATCATCGATGTAATTAGTGGCTGAAAGCCGTGGCTCAGCTGCTAAATAATTAGGCACTGTTGGCACTGAAAGCAACAAGCGCCACAGCCCCCTCCAATTGTGGCGGACAAGGCCTATTACCTGTGGCGCTGGCGCTACATAACTTAAAGTATTGTCTGGCATTCGCGCTGGACGTCATTTTATTTAAATAGAAGCTGATAAATTGTACAGACCCATGCCATGTTCGTCAGTGGGATGCGCGCTTTTTCCGAGTGGTCCAGAATTCTTCCATTCATTCTTACAGTTGCGCTTGGTCTCTACCTACCTACAGTCAGTGATCCACTGCCGCGTGCCCTTGCAGGTGACGTGGCGCAGAATAGCCGGACGGCCTCTATGCTACATCATTTTCATCTCTCCTCTTGCGCCAATTCCCTCAACACAATCACCTAGCACTCACGATGCGCTTCTTGTCATTATCTGTGGCAGCTTTGATGGCTGCCGCCGGGGTGCACGCCGAAGAGACGACTACGACGGCGCCGATTCCCGCCTGCACGGCCGTGTCCTCCACCAGCAACGGCGCATTCTTCGACCTGCGGCCCGACATTGCGCACAAGGAGACCGACAAGGCCGCGCGCTCCATCACCAAAGACTACCACGCGCGTGGGTACGACTACGGCAAGAACTTTACCCTCAACATCTGCGAACCCGTCGTCGCGCCGGTCGAGGACGTTGTCGGTGTCTCCAAATCGTTGTGGAGCAACGTCAGCGCATACTATACGTACAAGGATAAAGTATACTCGATAGGGTACGGAAAATGCTCTGCACCTAGTTTACGATGGATGGTCCTGCGTTGAAATGTACTGACCAATGTCTCTCACAGCTCCTCGTCGCTCGACTTGCGCAGCCGCGGCCGCAAGCTGGTGCTACGGTACGGCGACGGCTCTCCGTGCGAATCAACGTCGAGCAAGAATGCGCGCGACCAGAAGCCCGCCGCCGGCGACAAAGACAAGGGCTCCTCCTCCGCACGACGCAAATCGACTGTCATTTCGTTCCTCTGCGACCGCGACTCTGGCAGCTCGACGGTCGGCTTTTCTTTTGTCGGCACCGACCCCGACGAATGCGCCTACTTTTTCGAAGCCCGCTCGATGCACGCCTGCGCGCAGGCCGAGCCGCACAAGCGCGGCAACGTCGGCCCGGGGAGCATTTTCGGCCTCATCTTCATCATTGCTGTGCTCGTGTACGCCATTGGCGGTGTCTGCTACAACCGCACCGTCGCCCACGCCCGCGGCTGGCGCCAGCTCCCCAACTACAGCCTCTGGGCCGGCATTTGGAGCTTTATCACAGTGTGTTCCGCCTCCCCCAAACCGGGCCTGCCCATCAGTCGTCGCAGGAGCTGACCTGTTGCTTTTTTCTTTTCTTGCGTTTGTTTCTCGATAGGACATGTTTGTAATCCTAACCTCATCGTGTGCCCGATTCCTGCCGAGCAGGCGTGGGTACAGCAACGTCAGCCAGAGCTTCAGCAGCAACAGAAACTCGGACGCGGAGAACCGACTGATAGATCAACTTGACGAGGAATGGGACGATTGATGGGATCTGATGGATGCGAGTAAAATTTCCGTGCGAATGTGTTTTTCTGATGTTTGCAACGTCTGATCTCGGTCGGATAATGGCCAGTGTTTTGTATTTGTATATAGAGTTTGGGCATTTTATTACCGGGCGTTTACTTGGTAGATGATTCGTCGCATGAACGAGCGATTTGAAGTCCTAATTTTCACATTTTTTTCCACAGTGTGCACTGGCAATTACTTGTTTTACGGATCTGTCAATGGATGAGAGCATAGGATCAGTGCTAAATCAAAGCAAGATATGTTTGAGCCGTCATTCCCATCGGTTATGCTTAGGGAACAAAGTATATACTGTGGTACAGACATGCGCAAAGAATGCCGCGTCTTTTCATTCATCGGACGGCGCAGTTCGATCAAAGAGCTTGGCACTCAAACGCAAGGCTCGCCACCGTTACTTGCAAATGTCAATGTAAAACGGCGCCAATACAAAACACAGCATGGGCCAACTACCTATTTGCGGGGAATGCAAGTCATTTCGCCCTGCGCCGAGCCGTCGCATGGTTTGCTTGTCCAAAAGGTCTGAAGTTTGCTCCCAGCCCATTGGCTAGGACAATGAAGGAGGAGGCACTTTAACGGGAACAAGTTCGCAGACTGGTCGTTGCTTCAAAGCGACGTCCAATAGGACTGAGCTAGCTCTCGGTATTAACCGTTATGTCTCGTGTCAGCTGCAATTCAATAGCACCTTGCAGTGTGGATATGCATCGTGAGGCCGTAGCCTGATCTGAGCATCTCAATAAAGGGTCCAGGCTTCTCTCCTACAACGCCGGCCCCTAGACTGAGCGTCAATGTCAAGATCAAAGATCCCATACAAGATGGCAGCTGCCAGGGTTTCTACCCGTGTCAAATCTATTCGAATCTAGATTTTTCCGCTGAGGGACTCCGAGGCATAGTTGCCGTCTTCCAGCCTGGTTTCGACACGTGTGTACCATTTCGAGGCGGGATCCAACCGGATATGGCGGTCCCAGCTATCCGGTTGAGTCTCAGAATTGGTCATTGCACTAATTGCCTTGACTCCTTGATATTCTACTTTCCATAGTCGCACTTCGGTCACTCCGATAGGCGAGGATTGTTCGATCGAACTGTCAATACCAACCAGGATGGATTCCAAGTTCAAATTGCACCTGTTCTGACAGGCCATAGATGCATCTGAAGAATACCATAAATATATGGCGCGCTCGTAGCATACAGACTCGAACAAGTTCTTCACTTGGCCGGCCTGAATTCACTCCTCCACTTTGTTGCCGGTTGCCAACTGCCGCCAGCTGGCAACCCCTCACGTCCAAATCAGCTTCACCTTGGCCGCACGCACCCCAACTTCGTCTCGCCACTCGTTTACTCACATGTCAGCCTGGGCCTAGTTTCTGGAACTTGAATCTCAAGTGAAATAAAAATCGCGTTCCACTTTGCTAAGCGAGACCCCTCAGTATCGCGTTTAAGCACACACGTCCACGGCCAACTGCTGCATCCCATGCTGCACACACGCATTTTCTTCTTTCAACTTCTGCACCTTTCCGCCTTCTTTAACCCCATACATTCTTCTAAATGCCATCTCTGAAAGAACACATATTCTAGGCGGTGACAGCACACTCCTCATTGAACAGTGAAACCTTTCACGGCATTCGTCTGCATCAAAGCCTCGCACTCTGCAGTATCCAAAATGTCCACAGATGCGATAACGCGGACTTTCCACCTTGCTCCGCCAAGCCATTCATGCGATGATATGGCAATTGCGACTTCTGGATATACTTCGCCTCAGATGCAAACCAATCATCAGAATCATCACTCATTTCGAAGCTTGAGAGCTCGTCGCGCTCAGCAAAACCTGACGCTGCCTCTGCACCTTCGACGACGCACTGTAATGGACAACGACTCTTGGATGCAGTCCATGTCAGACGTGGAGGTAAGCTCATATTCAACATATATTCATTGTATATACGAAATTTGCCAGCTCATCTTTGCAGATTGAAACGCACTACGGTCGAAACTTCCTCCATGGCGTGCCCAGATTCGACAAAACACCACTCGAGCACAATCATGCGTACACTGCCAGCTCAAGTGCTTCGCAGTCTACACAAAACTCCTCTATGCCGGGTAGCATTTACATTCCCTCACGACCTCCTATTCTGGGATCCTCTTCGAACTACAACAGTCCAATTTGGTCGGCCGACTCGCACCAGCTGGACTTTGGTGGTTTCTCCAGCGCACCGATGAGTGCAGTTTGGCCTCAAAACAACTACACATCGTACATTCTCGATACAAGCGTTTCCCTTCCCAACACTCCTGCGCCAGTTGGCATCTATCAGACGCCAAGTCAAAATCAGGCCAGTCGCCAAATGCCCCATCTGAACACGCCTCCGACCAGTGCAGTCTCTCACGCGAAAATGAACAGCAATGACGGTGTGGGAAAGCCACAGTTGAAAGTTGATACAGGGTCTCACGGCTACTTCAAGGAGAATGGCTCCATCATTATGAACAAATGGTTCAATAACACAACGACTCAGATTGCCCCGCCGCAGATCTACAATGTGCCGCCGCCCACATCTCTGTCGTCTCAAGATTCTTTCCACGATGGCTCGTCGATTGCTTCAGGAAGAAACATACGTCCGACGTCTGTTCGCCTTCACCCTTCCAGATCAGGCTTTTCAAGCCAGTTATCACTCACAAACGCGGCAGACTATTCTTCGCAATCCCCGCAGATCGGCTACTCTGCCAAACAAAGACTCCTAAACGATAAATCTCCCTCGCCCGCTATTCCAGGTCATTTAGATGCCGGGGATGGCAGTAACCGCATCTCACCCAGCGGTGCAACCTCAGTCGGTCCGAGCACTTACGAGAGCGACAGCAACTACGCTGCCAGCAGCGTCCGATCCTCCCATGCGAGCAGACTGCCATCTCCGGCGCTCTCCGACCATAATAAAAATGCTCAAAATGCATTCCTGATTGACGCCCGTGCCAGGGGAATGTCATACAAGGAGATTAGAATCAAGGGCGGCTTCACGGAGGCGGAATCTACCCTGCGTGGTCGCCATCGGATGCTGACCAAAGATAAGGATAGCCGCGTGCGCAAACCGGAATGGACCGAAACAGATGTGAGCTCAACCAAGCCGAGATTCCCCCGTCTTCTGCCAAAGAAACATTCGACCTAACCGACCTGTTTTGATTTCTACTGTACAGATTGAACTGTTGAGAAAGGCTGTCCGAATCCATACCCGTGGAAACGCCCGTACTGGCAAGACCTCTTGGAAGAAGGTGGCAGAGTACATAACACACAACGGTGGTTCCTATTCCTTCGGTTTTGCAACGTGCCATAACAAGTGGAAGGAGCTGCCACCGAGCAGACGTCGATGAATATGTTCTTTTGCGTCCGAAGGTATTCTTCTGTGTACACCACCGGGGGGTTGCGTTGATTTACATTGGTCGTTCGTTTTTCCCTTGTCCGACACACGCGTTGGTACGCAAGACAACCAGGAAGGGGCTTTTGGTTTTGATTGACTGATTTCGACTTTGATTTTTGACAGCATTAGTACTCATCACAGGTTTGTTGGGGGAGTAGTACCACATCTCCGACTTGGATCTGGGGGATTGAAACGCTGACAGCCAGAGAAAAGGCTGTAGTGAGAAAGAAAAGTCTCTCGCAGGGCAAAGAGGTTTTGGTTCTTGGAACGCTGCTGGCACCTGTGTCACGGCGCGCGGAGGGTCCCGATTGAAAAGTATTGGATTGGGGAGAATGTCATGCACACGGCATATATGAGAACAGAGAAAAAAATGTACATTAGATCGCATTTGGCTGGTCATGGTGGTTTTGTCAATTTTTTTTTTCTCTTTTCAATTTCTTGTTCAACTTTTTTTCCATCTAGCTAGCTAGTCTTCATTGCGCATTTATCATAGTTTATTGCTTTCTTCCACAAAGTCCAGCTGCGGGATGCCCACGCTCTTGAGCACCGTCGTCAGCGCCCGCGGGTTCTTGCGGAGGGCCTCCCATTCCGCCTCGGTCTTGACCAGCGCCGTGCCGGCCAGCATGGTGCCGTTGAGCGAGACCTTGCCCACGACGTGCCCCGTGTCCGGGTCCCGCACCGCGTCGCCCTCTGCGCGTCGGGGGCAGAGCACCAGCCTGTCCCTCGTCATGGCCAGGTTGTAGCTAATCGCCGCCTCACCCGTCGTCGACACCTCGCTCTCCTCCCCCTTGACAGCACGCACCGCCTGCGCATACAGCCGCAGATATGCCGCGTGCAGCTCCTCCTGCGAGGTGTCTAGCGTGATTCTCTGCGAAAACGTCGTGAATGGCGCCGCTACTCCTCCTCCTCCTCCTCCTCCTCCGTTTAGCTGCGTCGCCAGCACCCTCCAGGCGCTGTCCGCGGGCAAACCCTCGCGCATCGCCGCCACCGGCAGCATCTGGATATGGCGGTGCGGCTGGCTCGCGCCCGAGTGCTCTCCACAGTTGAAGAATGCAAACAGCGCGCCGTCCTCGCCATCACCATCATCATCATCATCATCACCACCACCAGACGACGACGATGACGACAAAGGCGCTGGCGAAGCCGCCTCTTGGTACGCGCGCAGACAGGCGAGCGTGGCGTGCAGGTCGTCGGCTTCGAGAACGTCCGTCTGCGGCTTGTACACCCGCGTCGCGAGGATGAAATGCCCAGGCACAATGGCAAACTTGTTGAGCACGAGAAAGTGCGCGGCGCCAACGTCCCCGACAAAGAGCGGCGGCGGCGGCGGCGTGGTGTACGCAAAGGGGTCAAAGGGCTTGGATGGCGTGGTTTCAGCGGTTTCGCGCTTTGTGGGAGGTGCCTTGGGCTTGTTGGCGAGAGCGGGCGAGAAGCGCAATTGAAACTTGTTTTCATGACAGCGATTAATTATGTGCGGTTTAAAGAAGACTTGTGTATATTGAGACAAAGGGGCTGCTTACGGTGAGAGCGCCTACGCGCACATCTTGGGCGTGCGTGGCAAAGTAAAAGAGGTCGCCGTTGGAGAGGGCCTTGGCAAAAGTGACTTTGATGAGCTCGGGAAGCCGGGCGGGAACCTTGAGAGTAGCCATTAGAAGAAAGAAAGAGCCCTTCTTTGAATCGGGAGAGCAATTGGCTGCAAAAGAGGTGAAGACGTCAGCGATCGGGTAGCACGAGTTGAAGTCCGCGATGCGGTGGGGCATAACACGATGAGCAGTAGCACAGAAGAGCGGTTTGGCAAATTCCTGCAAGCCAATTAAATCTATCAATTTGGGTTGTCTCTAGGGACATTAGGAGTAATTATGTATATTCTGATAAACTTCTATTTAGTGGAGAGTAGCCATACTGGCTCAAGGGCCGTACAGCTGCGCTTCCATGAAGCCGCATGCTCGCCTATTAGGTAGGTATGTTCTATGCCAACTTTGAATCCGTACGCCAGCCACATGCAAGAGGATCGCCCACTTCCCGCCCCGGCAGCGTCATTCTTAAATTCCAGGCACTCCAATGAGTTGCCGTAGCGCGGGAACGAATCGTGGCACAATGTAGACGGCGTATATCGCGATATAGGCTGTAAAAAGTCCAGTAAACTATACAAAGGGTCAGTATCCGCAAGGGCTAGTAGTAATGGCGACCGCCCGGCACCACATACCTTTTCGAACCACGTGTGAAAGTAAATGGCCGTCATGAGCAGCATCCACAGATTCAGCCCCAAGACACCCAGCGCAAACTTGCCTGCGTATCCCAACGCCGGCTTCGCCTCTCTGCCCGCGGCAACGTCCTGCGCCCTGTCCGCCTCGACGCTCGCCCCCTTGAGCGCGCCATCGGCCATGACGACGCACCGCTCCTCCGCTCGCCACCCAGCCCAGCGCGCCAGCGGCCACAGCACCTCGTGCATCAGCAGCGCCGACCCGAGCGTCAGCAGAAACACGTGCCCCGAAATATCGTGCCCGCCGCGCCACCGCCCGCCCACGGCCTTGCACGCCACCGCCGTCAG